TTCTATTCTATTCTATTCTATTCTATTCTATTCTATTCTATTCTATTTCTATTCTATTCTATTCTCCAGGCGTGTTTTTCCCCAGCTACGTCTCAACCAACGGGTCTCCTTCTCCCCCATACCCTAAAAGTTGTCCAAATTCCTAGCTTGCCCTCCTTAACTGAGTTTCCGAAGTACGAAAGGGGGACGGAGAAGTGCTGGGGACGAAAGAAAGAAAAAAAAATAGCGTAGAAGGAACCCCCCCTTCTTTTTCCACCGTACCTCTTGGATCTGATTCAAGTGGTTCTGCAGGCGCAGGTTTTCCTTCTCGGCTTGGCTCAGGCGCTGCCCTCGGGCGTAAGCGGCCTCTAGTTCTTCCTCCATCAAGGCTTTGGCCTCCAACAGGGCCTTGGAGAAGTCTCGTTCCTCCTGAACGAGAATCAAAAAGGATTTCTTTAAGCCCCAAAGGCCCGGGTCTCCGCTCTCTTCCGGAAGATTCTGTTAGTTGCAAACTTGCGATAACCATAATAACCAAGTCACAAAAATAGAATAAAGTTTCTTTAATGCCTACCACTTGGCCCCAATGTCCAATTATCCTTGGCTGGAAATCAAACTCTCGAAGAAAACAGTTTACGAAGGGAGGAAATGCAGTCCGCACCCAAAGTAAAGTTAATTCAAAATTTAAAAAAAAACAAAAAAAACAGAAACCACACTGAAGGAATTACTACGGCAGGCAAGGATGATTAATTGCAGACTTCTACCAGATAAGCCAAAACACAGATAAGCTCCAACAAGAATAAAACATTCTTTGCTTCCAGCACTGGGCCATGCGCAGTTTGTCCTTTTAAACAGTCCTCACAGCTGCAGCTCATGAAGGGGATCAGGGCCCCTTCCTCCCCCATAGACCACGCCATTAATTTTTCTCCCTTATCCTCTCCTCCCTGCGTGTCCTAGGATGAAGAGGGGATGGGCCTGGGTCTTCCTCTGACTGCCCAGCCTGCCTCTGCCTTTCCCCAGCTTCCTCCACAACCTCCGGAGCCACACTTCCACTCCCTGTCGGCTGTTCCTCCTCTCCCTTGGAGTCAGACTCCAACAGGGACGTGACACATTGCTTTGGATCCAAAGATCTGAAAAAAAAGATCCAAAGCCAAAATGAAATGGTCACCTTGAGTTGCGCCCGGCATCGTTCCAAGGCTGGTATCCTTTCCCGCAGGGCCGTCAGCTCCGACTGGAGCCTCTCTGCGCGGAATGCCTTCTCTCTCAAGGCGTCCAATTCGTCCTGGTATAGCCTGGCTTGGCGCGCCTCACTTGCCAGCGTGCGGTTCTGGGTAAGAAAGAGCAAACTAGAGATGACATCATCCCAATGACGTCATACTGGCTGGTGATGTCAAGACACACCCTGTCGTTCCAACATCGTCTTGGTTGTTTGCCAGTTCCCGCCCCCATCTTTTTCTCGATCCCACCAGATAGCTAAACGGGTCCTTGAAGATACAGTTGGTCCTCGAACGACGGCCACCATTGGGCCCAGAGTCTCCGTTGCTCAGCGAGGCCGTTGTTAAGTGAGCACTGCCCCGTTTTGCGACCTTTCTTGCCGCAGGGAAGGGAATCACAGCAGTTCAGTTGGTCACACCCAGTCATTAAGCGAACCCGGCTTCCCCATTTGCATTGCTTATCCGAAGGTCGCAAATAAGGGATCGCGTGAGCCCCTGGGACACTACAGCCGTCATAAACATGAGCCAAGCGCCTGCATTTTTGCCACATGACCACGGGGATGCTCCAACCATCGTGAAAAATAGTCCAAAGTCACATTTTTCAGTGCCATTGTAACTTCAAACAGTCACTAAACAGGATTCCGGCAGTTACCCCTTTTTAAATCAGGAGTCTCGAGCCAAACTTCAAAAACTTCAAAAGGATTTATTAGGAGTAACCATGCCAGCAGTGCCTGGGTGTAGCCGACTCTGAGACACAACATTCACTGTCACCTTTGACCCTGGTTTTCCCCCCACCCCCTGGGTGTATCATAATTCATATTCTCCAATGGGACACCTCCATAGCCCAGAGTCACCCATCATGCTCTCCAGTTAGATATTTGCACGGCAGAAACTTCAGTCACCTAGTTACTATCTTTGAACCACTATGTATGGAATGCGCTTTTGATTTTCAAGCTGCCGCATGGCTCCTTTCTGTTGGCAACTCTAAAAGACCAGAGAAATATTTTATGAGTTGACAGAATGGTTATAAGTTGAGGACTATCTATAATAATTAGCCTTCCAAGATTGTCCAGAGAGGAGACACAGCCAGATGGACTAATTCTACTTTGTTGTAAGATGATAAGTCTGAAAGTACCAAATCTCTCCACCAATCTCTTCTGAGCGTCTTTCTCCACCCATTACACAGCTGAGGGTTCGGCTGCCCCTTATCCAATGTTCCCCTTAGCTTTGAGCCTTCTTCATCTCCCAAGGCCATTCCTACAGACCATCGCAGGCCCTCCTCGACTTACAAACCACCCCTTTAAACTCAGGGTTTCTAAAGTCAGGCCAACGAAGCCTGTTACGGTGAGGTTTTGCTATAGAGAAAAGCACCTCCTGTTGAATCTTTCGCACTTGTTGCTCCAAATTCCTGGATTCCTCTTGCTGGTCCAGCAGCTCCTCCATCTTCCTCTCCCTGAAACAAGAGGCTGGAAGGTCAGGTTCGAGGAAGGGGATGATGGGCACCAGAGAGACTCAAAAAAAGGAGAGAAAGGGAGAAGGGAGGGAAGGAATTTGTGTGGGAAAGGAAAGGAGAGGGGAGGGAGGAAGGCAGGGAGGAAGGAAGGAGGAAGGAAGGACGGAAGGAAGGGAATTTGTGTGAGAAAGAGGAAGGGAGGGAGGGAGGGAGGGAGGAAGGGAATTTGTGAGGAAGGAAGGGAAGAAGGAAGAGAGGAAGGAAGGAAGGGAATTTGCGTGAGAAAGGAAGGGAGGAAGGAAGGGAGGGAGGGAGGGAGGGAATTTGAGAAAGGCAGAGAGGAAGAAAGGAAGGGAATTTGTGAGAAAGGAAGGGAAGAAGGAAGGAAGGAAGGAAGGAAGGAAGGAAGGAAGGAAGGAAGGAAGGAAGGAAGGAAGGAAGGAAGGAAGGAAGAGAAGTAGATAAATGGATCAAAAGGAAGGAAAATGAATAAATAAATAGATGGATTCAAAGGAAGGAAAGAAGGAAGGAAGGAAGGAAGGAAGGGTAGATAGATAAATATGTGGGTGGGTGGGTGGAAGGAAAGAAGGAAGGAAGGAAGGAAGATGAGTAGATAGATCGAAAGGAAGGAAGGAAAGAAGGAAGATGAGTAGACAGATAGATCGAAAGGAAGAAGGAAGTATGGAAAATGAGTAGATAAATAGATGGATTGAAAGGAAGGAAGGAAGATGAGTAGATAAATAGATGGATCGAAGGGAAAGAAGAAAAGGAAGGAAGGAAGGAAGGAAGGAAGGAAGGAAGGAAGGAAGGAAGGAAGGAAGGAAGGAAGGAAGGAAGGAAGGAAGGAAGGAAAAAGAATAGCAGAGTAAGAGAATAACACAGTTGGATGGGAGCTTGGAGGTCTTCTAGTCCAACCCCCCCTGCTCAATCAGGAGACCCTATACCGGTAGCCCTAGCAATACAGGTAGCCCTCGACTTACAACAGTTCATTTAGTGACCATTCAAAGTTACAGCAGCACTGAAAAAAGGGACTCAGGGCCATTTTTCACCCTTACGGCTTTTGCCCCATCCCCAGGGTTTGCGGGATCCAAATCTGGACATCTGGCAACTAGTTTGCATTTACGACACGGTGGCCATGCCTCCTGGGATCACGCGATCCCCTTGGGCGACCTTCAGACTGGCACAGCAACTGCCACGATGATTCGCTTCATGATGGCGGCCAGAAAGGTCGAAAAAGGCAGCAAGGCTCCCTTAACCAAGGTCTCGCTTAACAGCAGAACTTTTAGGGGGGGGCTCCATTGTGGTCGTAAACCGAGGACTACCTGTATTTCCCCCGCAGGGCTGAAAAGGAAACCACCTTTTGGGCAGGTCTCACCTGAGTTTGAACCGGTTGCTCCTTAGGGAGGTGCAGTTCCTCGATCCGCCCGACGGGGGCGCTCTCTGGCTGGCCTTTGGAACCGTTCCTTGCCTTGGCTTGGCTGGCAAGGCAAGAGAGACAGCAGAGAGAAAAGCCAATTTTGGGGGAGCATCACACACACACACACACACACATTCTGGGGTTGGAAGGCAGCAAAATAACCTCCCTCCCCCTGCAAAATTCTGGAAGGACCTCAGAATTAAGAACTTGAGGGTGGGATTGGTTGCCCACCTGGGCTGAAGGTGGGACAGACTCCTTTTTGGTCCTTGCTTTGCCCAGCAATTTATTCAGGGTTCATCGAATCGGAGAAGTTTTGTTTATGGGCAACTTATAAATGTCTATAAATGCAGATCTGGGTTTGGGACGCAGGTTTCCCTTCCCTTCCCTCCCTTGTTCTCTCCTTCCGTCCCACTTTTTCTGATATTACCCTCCCTCTTTTCCTTCCTTCCTTCCTTCCTTCCTTCCTTCCTTCCTTCCTTCCTTCCTTCCTTCCTCCTCTTCTTAGCCTCCCTCCTCCCTTCTCTTCTTTCTTTCTTTCTTTCTTTCTTTCTTTCTTTCTTTCTTTCTTTCTTTCTTTCTTTCTTTCTTTCTTTCTTTCTTTCTTTCTTTCTTTCTTTCTTTCTTTCCTTCCTA